AGGTTCCTGTGGTTGGAAAACATCAACCACCCTCCAACAAAAGGCAATATAATCTACTACCGATTTCGAAGGCTCCCCTTTGGAGTAACAACGTCACCAAGTACACTGAACATACTACTAATAGTATACTAATAACCTACTGGTACAGCCAAAATTCTGACCTGGCTGAGGAAATCTCACAGAATTTATACGTAGACAATATCTTAATGTCAGCCGAAAATACGCATGAGGCTCTGCGAAAATATGGAGAGCTGAAGCTCATGTTCGCAAAGATAGGGATGCATTTGCGAGAATACATATCTAATTCAACTGACGTAAACGATCTGATACCGGCAGAAGATAGATTCGAATCTGGTCCTATGAAATTGCTCGAGGTCAATTATAACACCGAGGTGGACTCATTCAATTCATCTGCTCCCTTCCCAACAATGAGTACCTTAACAAAGAAGGGCATTGTGAGCCGAATAAATTCCGTTTACGACCCTATCGGTGGCTGGACCACTAATAGCTCGGCTGAAATCAATGATGCGGGAAGTTTCGAAATGGGAGTTGACTGGAAGACAGTCCTGCCATTACATGTTTGCGAAATATGGAATCGGTTATCATCTGAGGTTAATAACGCTTCCATATCTGTGCCTCGCGCATTACCTGGCAGCTTCTGGGGTGACAAAAAGCGCCTATGGGTGTTTGCCGACGCAAGCAAAGCAGCAATCGCTGCCTGCGCTCATCTAAAAGGTCAAACAACAAACCTCGTGTCACCACTAGTTTGTGGCCAGACAAAACTGACTCCAAAAAAGACACGCCATACCAAACCTATGTTGGAGCTCGTCGGAATCCTTATGGCAAGCTGGCTAGCTCAGTCCATACTATCTGCGATGAACACGCAAATCAAACGTATTTCAATCGTTTCGCATAGTGAGATAGCACTCTATTGGCTTAAAACATCAAAAAAGTGCCTATATTCGTATAAAATCAAAAAGATCGAATATGGAAAATCAAGGACCAAATTCAAGGAAATGGCGTTGTCGTGCCCTTTTTGCATGTTACAACGTGTCATAACCCAGCTGACGCCGGTACAAGAGGGCTAACAGCTCAGCAAATCAGCAGCCGTGACTGGGTAAAAGGCCCGCGTTGGCTAGAAAGAGGTGCCGAAACATGGCCTCTGCGTCCACTGGATGCTATAGAAGACCTTTCTGGGGAACAGGAGCATCCAAAACTAGCTCCAGCGGTAAACATCCAAGCGACCATTGAAGATAAAGGTCTCGAAAAAATCATCGATTTGTCAAGATTTTCACACTTGAACAAGGCAATAAGAACATTGTCCATTACGGAAAAACCATCCAAAACTGGGTAGGAGTCACGAACAGAAACAAGGGCACAACTATTCACTTGAAAGTCATCTCAGAATACGAAACATGTTCAGAGATATCCTCCACGGATTTCAAAATTTCAGAAGAAATTCTGATCAAACAAGAACAGAAGAACGTGAATATTGCAGAACTACAAAAGCGATTCTACGACAAGAAAGTGATCCGTGACACCAAAGGCGCTATTCGTCATGGATCTCGTTAGAGAACACAGTGTTACCTTACGATACGAAATCACCAATATTCATTCCCGAACAATCTGAATTGGTTTGGTTGATCATAAAAAAGGTGCATACAGATAATGCTCACAGGGGCAAAAACCACACGCTGTCAATTATCCTACAGAGTTTCTGTATACCGCGCGCAGCAGTCGCCGTGAAGAAATTGCTCACTAAATGTGCAATTTGCAAACGCTACCAAGGATTGCCATTAGGTGCACCTCTGATGCCTCCTCTTCCAAAAGATCGAGTCATATCTATGAAACCATTCGAAATGTTGGATGTGACTATATGGGACCATTCACCTCAATATCACAGGAAAAGATGTACGTGTGCTTATACACTTGCCTTACTACAAGGGCAGTACATCTTGAAGTGGTCGAAAATCTTTCGACGGTTCCTTTCTCAACTCCTTTGTGAGATTTGTATCATGCAGAGGTGTTCCCAAATTAATACGCTCTGATTGTAACACTAATTTCAAACATGGAGAACAGATAATTGCCACCATGTTCGAAAAAGACAACACAATTGGTACCTCATTAATGTCGTACTGTGCAAGTTAAAAAGGCTGGTCGGTTGTGTGAAGAAAGCGCTCAATGAATCAATTGGGCGCCAACGACCGAGTTTCATCGAAATGAGTACAGTACTGACACGGTGAATCCTAACGATCTATCGAAAATCCTTTTGCGTCCCATTGACTTCTTGCAAGGAAATGTGAAATTCTCCTTTCCACAAGAAGAAAACCAATGGACCTTGATTAAAATCCAGAATGTATTCAGTCTGACAAACAAGCACTGGACGCTTTTCGCTTCTCAGAGGAAATCGCCACTAAATTTTGGGAATGTTGGAGAACACAATACCTAGTATCTCTGAGAGAGACTCAAAAAATTCATCTCAAGCAACCAAGACACTTGATAAGGACGAGTCCAGAAATAGGCGAAATCGTCATAGTCGAACAAGACCTTCCGAGAGGAAGTTGGCCGTTTGGAAAAATAACCGAGATAGTAACCTCAAAGGATGGACTTACGCGATCAGCGAAAGTGCTTATGCCAAACCATGAAATAATCCATCGACCATTAAAGGCACCGTTAACATGATTTTGGGTAATCCAGATTACAATGAAAAACGAAAGACAAGATCGAAACTAGTGCGACTGAGGTGAAGAAACTGCGTGCATCGGTGTTTTCGCAGTGAAAAAGGGCCTCGAAAAAACGTTAAAAAGGGGGCTGGACGTGAATGAAACCAGAAAAATGAAGAAGGTGGGGCGCCCGGACGAGCTAAACAGTGCGTTTCACTGCGCGCGTGTGGGTCCTGGTGCGAATAACAGACAATGGTAATTCACAATTCATTCACTTATAAGCATGAATAAACAAAAAAACCTTAGTAACAGCAAAAGTAGCTCACCTTTTTCAGCCTCTAGGAGTAGGAAATTTTATAAGGGATCGCGGCAGCAAAAAAAAACAGAGGAAAAAAGAGTGGGAGAAAAACATCGCCTCATCACTGGCGGTTAGCTGTTTGTGTGTGGGTCCTAGAACGAATAATAGCAATCCATATTGACTCGACACTCGTCTAACGTGACACCGATGGAGGGGCGGAGGGCGACCGTGGATATCTCTCCGGCCCGTTATTGTGCCCTATCCAGCCGTTTTCCGACCTTATTCCTGCACAAATGGTACCAGAGGTGGCTTCGAATTCAAACCATGTGCAAATCTCCGAAACACTTTTTCGTTAACAGTGCCTTTGAACAAACTATTTCCTTTGGAAATTTGGAGTGCACTCGAGCAATCGGCACCGCATAGAGATGAAGTTGGGCAGAACCCTCGACAACCTAACACACGACCTATTCTGTAGCGGAGATCAAAGACAGCTGCTTACGACATAATACGAAACTTCGAAAATGAATTGAAAAGTTCCCATTATTCAACATCCGTAAGTATCCCACTGATTATGCTGGCATTTCTAGCAACTATAATATCACTAGCGGTAGCATGGAGTGCAGCAGCAAATATTAGCAGTGCTCAAGGGAAAGTTAACATTTCACTCTTCGAAAACCATTCACTTTGTGTTTCGACGAGGAATGTCGAAACATAACAAAACAAACAGCGTACTGACGTACAATCTGCCTAACTCACCTACGGATGAAAAGGTTACACTGCAAGGTTACACTTGCAACCAACTTACAACCATGAGAAAACGGGAAAGGTCGCACTTGCGATAGGCCTAAATTCTGCAGCAGTCACTATCTTCTATCGAAAACACTGCTCGGTAAACCACATTGTTGGCCAGAAGGTGCTATAGGAAAAACAGCTATTTTTGTTTACATATTGGTTGTTATCCTACTTATCATTTGCTGCCTGCTAATCAGTGGTGGGAAGTATCTCAAAGGCAAGGTTAGAAAAGAGCGACGATCAAGACGCAACCTTCCTGAACCGGAAATACCCATGCTCTAGCTAACACCACTGCCTAGTGCAGCAACCTCCGTGCTATGTGCAGCGCTTTGCGCAGTGATGCCCACAGCGCATGCTTGCCAACGCGGATACATGGGGCAAAATGTTGACCTCGTTTGCAACGAGCATAGTCAATGCCACTACGAATACAGCCACGAACTGCTATTCAACAAACTACAAAAAGAACTTTGCATTGAGATTGCTCACGAAAACAGAACGATCGGAACAGCAAAAATCATCAAAATCCCGTAGAATTCAAATGCGTGAAAGTAACAGAAGCTTATGCAAGATCCACCACGTCGATAAGTGCCCTCTGGTTGGGCCATGCACCGTCCACAAGTGTCGAACCCTTCGCACTAATGAGACTGTAGAGGAATTAAAAACAGCACGGAAGTATCCGGGGTACTCGGGTTGCTTCAGCGGCTGCGGCGGACTTACGTGCGGTTGCTTCTTACCACTCCCCACATGTTCATTTTACGGGATAGCCCACCGCCTGGTATCGAAAAAAGTTTTCGAAATCATGCGATGCCCCCTCTGAGTACCTACGATTTCGTTTGTCGTCGTAAGGGTGTTACTCGGTAACAAAAAGACGTTATCGCTATCAACAAAACCTTACGTTACCGAAAACGTAGAAGAATTCAATATCACTGCAGAAACCATCACATGCAATGATTAATAGAAGACTCGCAATGTCAGAAGGTAAGGCATACGCTCTACCAAACAATTTTAAAGTCCCTGTAGAGTGGTCAAAACAAGCAAAAAACTACTTTGCGACATGCGTGAGCAGAATACGATGCGTTTGTGAAAATTCGGTACAGAGCTGCCAATGCCATGGGAGTCGATTCGCACCCTACATGGCAGCGACGAGGCCGAGATGCCTCTGGAAACACCTTATGGCAAAATCAGTCGCTCAGGGGACGACATTATCAGCGTATCTGAGGAAGAGGAACTGATTTCGAAAATTGAATCGAAAATAGTAAAAGAAGCAGCAGCTATGATACAGCATCTTGCCTGTGACATCAAGTTCACACAGCTCTCTGGATGCTACAATTGTCCACAGGGTGCTGATTTTTCAGCTGACTGTATATCGAACGCTGATAGCATGGTAACAGCCAACTGTGAATCCCAAAAATTCACTTTTTCCTGCAAAATAATCAGGAAAAACATTTGGATACTGCTGAATTTCCAAAAATCGCTAATTAATGAAAGATGTTCCGTCTCAGGTGGTGCTAATGGCAACTTCTTCGTATTGCAAGGTAAGCTTACCTACCACATTTCAAATGGTGATACCTTATTCGGACACGACACATACATTTTGCCGCTTAGTCATCAGAGGTTCTCTGATATTACCCTGCCTGATATAGAACCACTTATAAGGATCATCAACCATCATTGGAAATTCGCGCTAGGAGCCATAGGTTCAGCATTAACGTTGGCTATGCTGACATATTTATTCGGCCCTGTTGTACTAATTTATATATTGAAAGCACTACTGCATATATTGGCTCGGAATAATTAAAAAATTGGTGTGCAGTTAACGTACACAATCAGAAAACCCAGCCGCGTAACATAGCTATATTCATATAAAAGTCTCTCAAGTTAGTAAAATCCACGTCAACACAAACACCATCCATCTCTCCTCTTCTTCGCCGTCATCGTCATCCTGTCTCCGACCGTCTCCCTTCAAGCTGTCTACACACACCAACAAGCTGCACAATTCACCCACAACGGGCAGCACATCCACGCCAAGCCCTTCACATTCCACGACATGCCGTTTCTCCGGTCGCAAGCCGCCAACAAACCGCTCAGATTTGGAAGATTTGTTGTGCATTATTTGTTTTTTTGCTGTCCCGCGGGAGTGTCGTCGTCGACGACCCCTACTATTACGCAAGCGCCCTACCACCCGCTATCAAGTGGGGTGGGGCGCTGTGGGGTTAGGCTCGTGCTTGCTGGACTGTCTCTATTATTATACTTGCTTTTGCTCAGCGTGAACGGTCAAGCCGCCCACGCTAATATCTCGCTTTCCCTTCTCAATAAATATACTGAACCACCTTTGTGTTATTGTCATTGAAAGGTCGACACCCGAGTCTTCCCGAGAGGCAGGCCTCTGAAATCTTCTTCATGGTGTAATGATTCATTTCAAAGTAAACATTACAGAGCCGTCTGTCCTATTGCATCAGTATGTGAGTGTTGATTGTGCATCCACGAGAAATGTTTTAAAAAAAGTTGTTCAATAGCTTGTGGTTGGTTAATAGATCGGTCGAAATTGAGCTCGGTGGGAACACTGATTGGATAGGCTCAACAAAGCTGGAAAGGACCTTTTTGATGCTAATAAGTAGCAATTGCTGACAGTTATTAACTGTCTTCAACTCTATCATCTCCATTTATTGACTTCTTCTAAAATTTTCCTCATACAAAAGCTATTCATTCATATTCATGTTCATGCTCCAAGAGATGCTGTTGTACCTTAAATTTTATCAGCGGGTGGTTACACTAAGAGACGCACATTGACGAAGAATTAATTTGAAACATTTACGATTATTTTTAAAGCTGTAGTGGGACAGTGAAAATAGCTGTAGTGGGACAGTGAAAAACGTAGTGAGGTCACTGATCCTGATCGACACAACTGCTAGCCTTCCAGAGATTTTTTGCCTAAGCCTCAGCCTGAAGAAGAGCACCGAGGGGAATTACCCAATCACCTCACGTAAACATTTGGATTGAAGAAGAATCAATCGACTGCTGAACTCTATGCAAAAGTATGGCTATTAACATGCTTTATCTCATATTTAAAGAAATCACAGAAGTGAGGAATGTTTGCCTTTTCATAATTCAAAAGCTACAACTTCTTTTGTACAACATCAATCTCTTCCCCTAGTTTTTCTCTCATCTTTTACACCAATCGTCTGGAAGACCACCATGTGTGATGCGCCCTGCCTTTGTTCATCTTCTGTTTGTAAGGCCCTCGAATTGTTTTGAGGCTTGGGCTTAATCCATGACCCTGCACCTCCGTTCGTTTACAAATTTCCTGAGATACTTATGGGATCGTTGAGCAAAACATGAACAAGTTATCGTTCATGAATTTCCTCTTTTCATAATGGCATCCTCTCATAAATGCTCTGCCGCATTCCATTATCATAGAGACCATATGAAAGCAATCAAATAGAAGCGACTGGAGACCTGAAGGCTTTTGAATGCACTCCTTCAATCCTATGAAGTTCTCCATTGGTCCGATCATTTGAGTCGAGTCGCAAGCTTCTTGAAGTGACGGAATATCCTATCAGTGTCCTCTTCGTAGACTGGATGGTTCGTGGGTTATCGAATGTGAACAGGATGGTTCGTTGGTTATCGAGTATGAACTGCAAGGTTTGTAGGTCATCGAGGATCGCTGTTCGAAAAACGGCATGTCACGGGTTGAAATGGAAGTAGTAAAGGTTCGAATCCTTTTAACGACCACAGAGGTTCGGATCCTTTTAACGACCTGCATCTTCTTCTGCAAATGTTGCCAAAGCGTGAGAGTGTCTGCAAAGTACAAATGCCTACAAGTGCATCACACCTGATATGTGCATACACGGCAGCGGTCACCCATCTGTAATTGTTACTTATTCCGCAGGCACATCTTTGTATTTATTAGCTACCTTCGCATTGCAGTCGCATTTATCGAAAATCGTTAAAAGACGACTGATAGAGGCCGACGACTGTGATTGGATCGACCATGAGTTTTCCTTTCTGAATGTATTCTGAAAAGATCCCATTCCACCTAAAATCAGCTTGATCACCAGCCCACTGCCTTCGCGTGCTTGTAGAAAATCAGCATTTCTTCGTAACGTTTTATTGTCGCCGTTTCTCTTCTGGGGATGTTCGAACTTCCATTGGTGGACTATAAAAAAGTCAGTGCCTGGAAAAAATACAACTGCAGGAAGCGAGAAAAAGCGGAACAAATCAAGCCATGCAAATGTACAGCGAACAGAAGCTGCATGTGCCGATCGTTGCCATATTAAACTGGAGTGTGTAAAGTGTACACGGGTGAATCAAAACCGCAATTCTGTTTTCTCCTGAGCACTTCAAGGTATTGACCGCAATTCTGTTCTCTCTTGAGCGCTTCAAGGTATTGTGCCAAGCCTAAGCGTGGTATGACGTATTGAGGGGGGCACCCAGCTTGTGACAAGAGGCTCACACACTTGTTCTAGCTTCGATCCATATACTAAGCACAAGGCGAAATTTTTGTACAGGTTGAATCACTAGTAACGCACCGAAACCATTTCAACAACACCGATACTTGTCAACCACGTTGTATATGATGCAAATCCATCTCGAAGCTCTTCATCTTCGTTCTATTAAAATTCTGGGAAACCGTTCATTTGCTACGAAACGTTGGTTTCCTAAAATTGGAACACCTGTTCAATGAAGATTATTCGTCTCCGAAATAAATCACCCACGCTTAAGAGCTGTTCATGCTTCCTCTCTCTATAGGATTCCTGATATGAAAAGCACAGAGCACTTTGGCTGCTCTAGAAAGCGGGAATACAGCCAGCGAAGCAATTGTAAAAAGCGTATGTTTCATCTCGCATGACGAGATGTAGGTCGAAATAGGGAACCGTCCTCTTGAACAGGCAAATCCCTGGACACTTCTTAGCAGTCATACGGTGTTTCGGCGCACCTTCACAATTTTGTAAAGGAATGTCAATCAGACGATGTCATGCGGAACGACATGCCACATTTTTCTAAGTACATTGGTCCATTTTTTGTGACCACTGGTGGAACCATCGGATGGAACAACGGAATTAGACGAGGTCTTGCAACCTCACCTACCCAACAGGAATCCACCACCACTTACATCTGTGGCGTCGAAGTGACCTCAATCGTACATAACCTCGTACATAACCTTATTTACCTCAATTAGATGGTCATGGTCATGAGTCATCACAATAATTACTATCATAATATCGAAACAGTCAATCAAAATACTCACGTTTCCGCTTCCTTGACTAGTTGTACATTAAAAGATGACAGTGAAACGTTGAAATGCCCAAATCCACCGAGAAAACAATGATAGGGCTCATTTGACCGAAGGTTAACACGGAAAAGCAGTTAAACACAAATAACATGAGCTATTAACACGGATAAACAATTAAAAACAAAAAAAAACTGAGCAGTCTATGAAGGGTCGAAAGCGCTGCGGTTTTGAAAGCCACACTCGCTCTAAAAGCTCGTAGCTGCAGTTTCGATAGTAGCGCGCAAATTGTGCAGCGTTCCAATGCAATGAACGCGACGTAACGGTGCGCTAGCGGCGATAAATGCTCTCGATGCCCTCCGCTTTGTAGCGCTCGTCGCTTCGGTCGATCGTTGAAGGTTGAGGTAATGATTGCGAAACACTCACATGGGCATGCTTATATACATATCTCCCTAAAGTACAGGTCTACCATAATCTATTACGAAATCTTTACGAGTGGTTTTACGGGGTATGGGTACATTCACCCAATACTGGTTGGGCGCGGCAAACAGCGCGATGAAATTCGTGATGTTTTGAACGACTCTGGCGCTATCATTGGGGTACAGGTTTCAAGTAGATTGGATAAGAAGGGCCAGTTGATGCTACTTATCTACCCTACTCTAACTACTTCAAATTTGTGCCCCAATGATAGGCACCAAAGTAGTTTAAAGCACCATGAATTTCGCATACAGTATTGGGAGAATGGTCTGTCCCCGGCCCTCCGAAAGAATCTATAATAGAGAGAGATGAAAGATCGATCAGAACTTTCTAATCAGCCTAATAAACACTCGAGAAATTCTTGCGTTCACTCACCTTCCCCGCCCTTGCATTTATACGTGTAACTAAATTTTTACGAAACTTTTCCGCTGCTACATCCAGAGGTCTTTTACATTGTAGACAGGGAATCACTTTTATAAGTGCACTCCCTACGGTATTCAACTAACGATAATACAGTCCTTGCACTAAAAAATCTGGTTGATTTCTAAATTATTTGCATGCTCTTAAAAGGACTCTGGTCATAGTATAATTTTTTGATAAATATCTATGGGACAGAGCTCAGCCAGCAGCATTGTCCGATTCTCTTTGTTGAAAGCAATGCAAAAGACGGAGTAAACGACAACAATGTGCTTTTTGCCGTACAATCAGCTACCAGCCAATCGAGTCTGTTGAGCTGGGGTATGTGGCATTACGTGCGTCCGAGGGCGCGCGGAAATTGCGCGGCGAAGTTCGTGACGATCTGTACGACTGACACCATTTTTTGCTTGCTCAATCTCGAAGTAGAGTAGTTTAGTAGGGTCAGATGATCCTTCTAACCTACTCTACATCAAATTTGGGCCCCAATGATGGGCGCTGAAGTCGTTCGAATAGTTACGAACTTCGTCGCGCAATTTCCGCGCGCATCCTCGGACGCACGTAAGTCCACATACCCTCTATTCCCTAAGGATTTGGGCTCGGAAGAGGCCCAAACCCTAGGGGAGTCTGTTTTGGTGCTCTGTATGCGTCAGCTTCCGAAAAATTAAGAGGCCACACAATCATCCAGCAGCCGCTCCGTCTTTGCGCGCACTTGATGGGTCATTTTCCGGGATCGTTCGTCGTTTCGATATTTCTCGCATGACAGTCTCTCTAATCGCGTTGAGAGCAGATCAACGACAAACCCTAGGACGGTCATCTTGTCTCAATACTATTCTTTTTCTGAATACAGTTGCCCGAGAACGACGACATTACGAAACATGCATAAACACGAGAAAAAGACTTCCGCAGTGAATGTACGTTCTGCTTCGATAAGAAATGTCTTCCCGCGTACAACCCAGATAGGTTTCGAAATTCTTCTAAGCTTTTTGACGAGAGGAAGATCGAGGGGAAGCACGAATGGCGTGCTTTTTTGTGCGCGGCACGCGCTTCTTTTCGTAGTTGAAGGTACTGTTAAGGGTTAGAGATTATTCCAAGGATGAGATTTGAAAACTATAATAATTGTAAGGTGCCGCTACTCATACACTAGCGCTCAAAAGTAATCGACCAAATACTTCTTCAGTCGTACTTTTCAGTAGTAATTCCTTTCCTACTGGATCTGATAATCCGAAATTTCGATATATGTAGCATGGGTGTATTGCATTCGAAATGAAGTGGGAATACGGATGATGGTCCATCTGGGATTCCTTTCCTTTTAACCATGCTAAAGTGTACGAGCGCTAGTGCGATTTGCTCCACTGAGAAAAAAATTACGGCCGAAAAAGGGTCAGCTTCGTGATCCTTGTTTCCAAATAGTCTACGCCTCCCTCCAGGACCGCAGTTGAGGGCCATTGGGGATACTTTATGCTGGGGAAGGAAATTTGCGCACCGAATTACAACACTGTTGCTGCTTCGGAGAAATCCTTGGAAAAAGCCTAGACTGAAATTAGTCAAGAAACTTTGCCTGGCGCCGTCGAATAGTAGCCGAAGTGTATTCAAGCTGTAGTTAGCACAGGAAACGGTTACATCAAATACCGTTCATTTTGTTGGCGTGATGCATAATAAATATTATATTACACCTAAGTTGACCATGTGTCAATGGGAATTGCGGTTTCTGCACAACAATTGGTTTGTTACCATATTTATAGTGCAGACGTAGATAACGTTAGCCTCTGCTTAAAATTTCGCCTGTGTTCTCCTACATGTTAAACCAAGACGAACTTTGTGTTAAAGGAAGTCTCAACGAAAGACCCAATCTTTTCTGAATTGAAAGCAACTGGAAATCTGTTCAGTTCCAGCAAAGCATTGAAGCTTTTCTCAGATCGAAGTGAAAAGGAGGGAGTAGGTGAGAAGGGGAGCTGGAGGAGTGGGGTTTCTTTTCCACACGTAAGTGCTAGGGCGCAGAGGAAGGGTTACCCACCTTCACTGTCCTGAGGAGTGGTTCTTAGCAGAAGGGCCATAGTTTTTACTTAAGCCCTAGTAGGGGGGGGGGGGGGGGTGTACTGTACTTTAGGGTTAAGATTAGTCCTACGACCAGTATTGAAAGAATTCTGGAAATTTGAAAAATCCAGCAATAAACAACAGAGAAGAACGTCCTTCTATAACAAATGACATTTAATGATTACACTGAGAAATGTCGAATATCACGGCGTTTAGTTATTACTATACAACAAAGTGTCGTAACGGATTCTTCCAAGCTAACGACGGAGAAATCATGGGTGCTTTTTCTTGCCTTACTTGAGGTTCTTATTGACGTAGCGAAGATGAAGCGTTATATGGAGATGAGCGTAAACCCGACCATTGAGGAGGCGACGGCTGGATCGAAACCTCAGGACGTTTCATTGAGGGTTCCGATAACCAGTCTCAAAGACGCACACAAATTCTCTGTTTTGAAAATCACTTAATACTATTGATTTTCCAGATAAGTGTCGCAAATACCAACCTTGACGAAGGAAGCCGTTCTAGCAAAGCGCATTTCACAAGGCACGAGATTTTCTATGGTGGTCTGACGTTGACATGCGCACAGGTAAGAGTCAAAATGAATGGGAATGGATAGAATGTGTAACAGGGTAGGGACCATTTTAGGAGCGGCCTGATAAGTGTTACCAATAGAGCGCGTGATAACTTGTGATAGAAGAAAGCGATGACAACACAGTGATAGAAATAAGTCGTACTGCACAGTTATATTTGGACCAAAATTATAATGATTACCCTTGACTAGTCTTTACAATGAGTGTGGCGTTTGTAATAGAGCCACAACCCAAAGTAGCCCCCGTTTTTCTACTTCACTTCGTTCAAGGTGTTTGGCTTTCGGGAGAATGGTCTCCCTCTAGAGTTACCGTTTTCCATCATGAGCAGATCCGGCGATCTGCCTTTCAGAAACATAACCAGCGACTTTACGCTATCATACTATTTCAACAAAAGTGGAGCATAAATACACTGAAGACTTAGACATTCCTGGCGAAGGGGAGATAGAATGAATTTCAGCAATAAGCGAAAGAATTCTCTCTATGACCTCTATGACTCTGTCGTACAGTGCTCTCGAAAGGTCGTGAAGGGTCTCTTGCATTAACGGACGGCGGCTATCTGAGGGAGTTGCATAACTCTGACAAGAACGCATGCATACACCAGAATGTGGAAGAAAAAGGCGTTCTCTCAAGATATATATCATGTCTTCAAGTATAGCGCTAAAGCTAATTCAAGCCTGTATCAAGACCATATTAAGTTGCCACATTGGTGACCGGTAACTGACCTGGTACCTCTGGACACATACGATAATGACTTTTTTTAAGATCGTGGACAACGAGGTCCGAACCTTGGGATTCCTCCATAACATCGACTATCTAATGAACAGCGAAGACCCAAATTTTTGCAAGTGTTCTTGATAATTTTTCTAAATTTTTTCCATGGAAGCATATAATTACCTTTGCCATCGCTATTTTACAGTTCGCCATCGCGTCGGCTATGAACAATACGAATCGTTCAACGCTACCACATCAATGCTGCCTTTCATTGACACGACGACCAACATCAAGGTTCGCCAGAGCAGAATACCTGCTTATGCTATGCATCCATTCGAGATGGATCATCTGTAATCTTCGATGTCGTGGGAGGCTAAACGAACCTCAAACTCGTACTCGTAACTCACTAGAGTTTGTTGAAATCGGAGACGTATATTGTGATATGAGGATATACATATATTGTGAGAAGGCTTCTAGATTTGTCTTCAGATTCGATTCTGCTTAGCCTGTTGTTTGGTAACATTCAGCCGTAAGCACCCGAGGAACTAAGTCTTCGACGAGCTAGGGTTTTACACCACTGCTGACCAGTCCATTAACTGTAAACATTCTCGAGATTTCAGAAGAATAAGGAACATAAAACTACACTAAGCTTTCTTCAGCTGCATTGGCTCGATTAGTCAAAAGTGACGAGCAGTTTTCAGATAGATATATCGTGGAAGAAATGGTCGTGTTGCTCTGCTTGTTGTTGCTCTGTTGCTCTTTGTGGTCTATACGCGAACACTAAAAAGTGGTAAGCCGATGTTTTCCAAACAATCTTGCGGACGGAAACGGATGTAGCTCAAAACAGCAGTCAGTGTGGAATGGAATATAACAACAGCCACACAGGTTGAGGGGTTACTATGTCCAGTGAGATGAAGAGGTACGGTCCTGGTTGCTTGTAACCTTCAGTATGATGAGAGGAACATACAATCACTACACACTGACACATACAAATTTTTTTGTTGACTTCAAAAGCTTTTTATAAATAATGCACAATTCCTGTTCACTACCCATGGTCTATAAGATAAACGGCAACTGAAAGCGTAAACTCCGAGCCGTTACTCATCCCGGATGCATTTTCGATTGAAAAGCGAAAATATCTGAGTTCTGGAGGTCTTTTTTGAAGGATATCCGAGAAATAAACGCAGAGCCTGAAATTGCCTCATCTTGAAGAGTCTCAGCCGCATGTGCTCGTTTTTACCTATACCTTGCCTTCAGTCATTCATAATCATATTTCAGTCACGAAGTCGACTCATATCGAACAAGAGAAGGTCTTCTCTCATTCATGTTGCTCGACTTCAGCAAACCCGTAAGGGAGCTATGTTTGTTAACGAGAATTGAATTGGTAAATAAGGAACCCAACCTAATCTCGGATAGCCCCTATTCCACTCAGAGTTTGTTAACACATGACAGTTTCACAGCGTGCTGCTGTTGACATCATTATAAGTGCAGAAGAAATAAGCAATAAAGTATAGTCGGCATGAGCGATGCATCCCAGAAAAAGAGGAGTTCCCAAAGTCACCCGCTTAATCAGGAAGCGATTCCGTTGCACAAAACATCACGCTCACCGTGGTTCGCTTAGATCGCACTCGCGATGTAATATGTTCAATAGATCAGCAACAGGAAGGGATTCACTAGTGGCGTTCTGAGTTGATAACTCACGTTCAAGGAACATAGCGGAGGAAAATGGGTGAGAATTGAAATAATAGGTTTTTGTTAACTGCTGTTTTAACGCCGCAGTGCGCGAAGCGAAAGTCTCACAAGGTTGGCGATTTGTGGGCAAAACTCCAGTCTCGGACGGGACTCGAACCCGCACTTGTCCTTTCCGGGGACCGTGCTCTTATCCCTTACACTACCGAAACCCCGCTTGCCCTCGCCATACCTCGGTTCGAGTCCCGTCCGAGACTATTGAAATAATAGGGTAAACCTTGTAAAACCTGAACAACCAACCAAATCCTGACCGATGAAAATGGTACCCTCAGTAGCGTCAAGCCAACGCACATACTAAACGTGTTCTTTCCATTGGGTGTCGCAGTAGGAATCGTTAAATTCTTTTCTGTGATATCTATGGGTATCTGAACTGGTCACCTTAGTTGAAACTACCAAACGATGAGGTGGCTCGAGAAGTAGACAGAATTCTCCGTCTCTCGCCTTATCGGGAGGAAGGAATCGCCATCTTTTCATCAATGATTCATCGAACGCAACGCTTCCAAGAGCACCTGTGGAGCGTTGTGCTCGAGGTAAGTGTTTTAACAACCTTGCTCAATTCGGTCCTCAAAAACTTTCCAGCCTATTGTAATGAGCAATCTCGACTCGTGGATGGGAGCAACGGAATCATCGTTAACATCCCTCGGTTTGTTTATCGAGGAGGAAAGCTGTGTCGGTATGGAACAAATGAAGAATTGTTCGCTTCTGGCCGCCTGCCGTGGTCAGACGATCGTTGAGGTAAACGGTCATACCACTTCGCAACAGCTCCTAAACAATTCAGCCACTTCAGCTCAGTTAACTGAAAGCTCCCGTTTGCTATTCAAGATCTATACGCGCTTCAGAATCGATAGAGATCCCTGTCACCCGAACAATTTCCAACTTCAATTGCGCTAGCGTCCTTGGTTATATGCGCTGTAGTGGACCACCTGCCCGTTCAAGACTCATGGCCAAAATGACCAGAAAAAGAGAGGAAGGCGAGTTTGGATCTCTGTACTGTGCACCATCGCAGCAGTTCTTTGTTGAAACCATTTTCGCCTTTTTGTTTTCCCATCTGCTAATACAAATTTAATTTTTTCTTATATTAGAGGTACTAATTCAGGTTTTATTCCGTGTAGTGCTTTTGTTCTTCACCGAACATCGCAGGGGTGAAGAGTAACGTGGTCACCCATGGGCTGACAGCCAATTCCAAATGCTATTGAGATAACATCATCTGTAGGATGATGAGTGATGGCTTCGCTCGGTTTGAGTTGTCCCTGAGTCATTGACCCGCCTGTACGGCCGTCTCCCTCCCGTTTCCGTCTGCCCACATATCGCTCATATCATTTGCAGTCCGCACAAACGAACTCAGCGTTGGATCTGATTTTAAATCACAGCGACGTACACTTACCACCTGAACACCATCGCCATAGTTTCGGCGCCGTGTAACGTGCGGGTTTCTCTAAGTGCAAGAACACAGCGAATACTAAGAAAGAGGGGAAATCGCAAACAAATGCTCCTTTTTTGCCTTATACTCTCAGTACTTGTATGCACAATAGAAAATTACGATCACCATAACAGGCTACAGGCTTGTAATTCTACTAGGTTGATGTATAATTATTGCGGATTTTTCGCGGCTTCTTTCCTCCCGATACAACTGGACTATTGAATTCGATTTTTGATAAAAATAATCTTCTCGCTTTCTTTAACGGAAATATGTCTAGAAAGCTGTCCTCATATACGCCACATTGTGCTTTATTACTTCGAGAAAGGTTGAAAGGTAGCACAGTCATAAAATGATCTCAACGAACTTCTCGGCGAAGGAACAGTCAGCCAAAGCCGATTATAAAATGAAATCTGCTTCTACGCTCGCTCTGTTCACCAACAGAAACCACTATGATTGAAAAATTGGCTAACAAACAGAACTTTCGACGAAATGGATTGCTTGATGGCCGACGTCAAGGTGTTTATCGCCTTCAATCAAAAATCGGAACATTTCGCCTGTGGAATCCGACTGCCTAGCAAATGGACAGCAGTGCTTGACGTAGATGGTGGATAAGTTCCAGAGTAATTATTTGAACATGTCTTTGCTTAATATTTCTATCCTCTTTTCTTCAAGTAAAACATGCTGAAAAAATCCACAATAATTATTCATCAACTTAATAGCTTCTACATTCCAACCGCCACCGCTTGTCGAAGGGCCGGTGGTTGTAGATCCCTATGCAAATGCACAATCGAGTTACAATCGCCATTGAATGCTGGTGGCTCGTGAATCCAACTTCTACATTTCAGCCGCCGCCACTTGTTGAAGAGCCGGTGGTAGTAGACCCCTGCGCAGAGACGCCTATGGTGACATTGTCAGTGGTTGAAAGCAAAGCTTCGTTCAGGTAAATGGAGTGATCTTACATTTTTATATGTCTGATTACCAGTGTTTACCCTGATAGAGGTAATAAAAACACCCGATTAGGTGTAGGCAATTACTGCAGCCTCGTTTTATAGAGAGTCAGTATGACTCATAACCAGTAAAACCTAATAATCAACTTTTCTAAGTAATATAAATGCTGACAGATAGTTTAGATTTGAACCAAACACGAGTTACCGTCTTCGACTGGAGGGACTAGACATGGAAGGGCTGAAATCGGTAAAACATTCGAGCCAAATCTACCTCCATCGTTCGCCTCCTAATTGTCTTACCTAGGTAAAATGGAAAATTGAAGAACGTACAGTTAGCAACTACGATCCATCAAAGCCGTGCCATGAACAAGGAATGGCTGTCCATGAGAACGGATTCGACTTGATTCTTATTGAACCTAACGAAACCCAGGTGGTCGGCGTCGTTATTGAGGCGTTCACTGGAAGACATCGTTTCAGAATCCAATTCATGGTGGACAGGCGAGTGTTTGTCTCTGAAGTTGGATGCAAAAATGTCAAAAATGGACGACCGAAAAGATCGATCTTCTCTTGTGGTTGCGCCATATATCCGACTTCCATTCGAATCCGAGTAGAGGTTTTGAATGCATATTTGATTGAAGCAGGGATCGTAGGTGCTGGGCGCCGATTTCGAGTCTCCCCTTATAATGAAATACAAAGGTCTTGAAGAACAAAAAAGTTCAATTGCCCTCTTCCCCCCCCCCCCCCCCCTTCTTTGCCATCCCTCATGGAATTTTCGATCATTAGACCGTACCGATAGCATGAGGCTAATTTAGCCTGTGCTTAAGTCCGATCTCGACTACAATTAGGTTAAAAGTTCTATCAATGGTATCAATCATCATGGTGTTTGTTCGTTGTTACAGCGTGGAGGACAGATTCGCATATGATTACAGAGTCTCGCTAGAAAAGGCAGCTATTGCTGCAGGTAAGGAGAGAAACCAAATTTTTTTCTTTACTGGTTACAAACGTAGGAACATGTCCCCTTAACTACATGATTGTCACCGCTGTTCCCGTTCATCGGCTCGAAAGTCAAACGAAAGAATCTAATCCAGTCATTCCACTTCCGCAATCCTATACTTTCCTTATTCTAATCAGTTTCAAGGCGCACCAGCGAACTGCCTTCTGAGATTCCCACGTGGGATGAACTTGTGGCTTCCACGCATGCCATATAGGGCGCAATGAGATTCCCAAAACACCTGCTTCGCGGCGCACACACCCAAAGGTGGACGAGATTAAGGCATTGTAGTGGTTGCACCATTCACGAGGTCCTATGTTGAAAGTTCATACAACTGCATTATCGTGACCATGGCGACAGTGGAAACTAAAACGAAAATTCAGTCCGGCGCTCGGCTCTTACAGTAACCCCCTGGTTTACCCCACCAACCACCCCGGATTACTGTAAGAGCTGAGTGCCGGACTGAACTTTCGTTCCTGTACAATGGAAGACATTTTTCAACAGTTTAGCTTGCAAAAGGCAGCTCTGAGCAATTGCAACTGCTAGAATCTCGTCCAGATACCCTTTCCATGCCATTTCTGTCATGGTGATTTCGTAAACCCTCTGCTTCCACTACTTTAAGAATCCTCGCATTACATGAATCCTGCAGGTTTTTCTCGCTTTCTTTGCCACCATGCGCTATTCACGCTCAATTCCGCTTTTCAATATGAAAGAGTAGCCCAAACTATTGTGAGAAGTGCCTTCAATAGCGTCCATTCTAATGGATACATGGCCAGCCCGGTAGGACAGGGACCAGGGCCTCAATGCATGATAGCTGTGGTTGAATTGCGATTTATAGGGTTTTCTTTCTTTTGTAAGCAGGCTCATATCCGCTTTCAAAGAGATTGAAACGACATTACTTTCAAAGATAGTACGTCCCATCTGACAAAACCGACCGACGTAGGAACCGCTCACTGGTGGGAACGCTTGGACTGAGGGTCAACGTGTGGAGAACGTTTTGAAGGCAGGAGTTGTAGGGGAAGGGTTGATCCGTGAGGCCATTTTCTGCTTGGTCGTCACGTTTGGCGTCGAATTCCCAACAGAGGTTGACGGACATTGATCGGCCAGGGTCAAAGGCCTCATGGTAGTACGTACCCTTTCACTGGTTCACTACAGCCATTTTTACCTATACTGATAAGGAATGTGTCGATAAGCTGTCAACCTCAGAGCTTTTCAGCAGTCATAGTTCTGGTGTTGGTTTCAACAACCCTAATACATAACTTCAAATGGAGAACTCAAGCACCACGCAAGAGAGACACAATCAGGAGAAGAAGTGAAAAACTGTCGGAGGCGCGACAAACTGAACCAAAAAAGAACAGACCACTGCCATCTAAGTGAAATTTGTACATCGCCAGATGCTGTCTAAAAGTTCATTAGAAAAAAGTTTGAATCAATTACATAAAAGATGATTAATTACTTCTTCAAAGTCTATTAAATGTTTCTACTTCAAATTTATAAAGTCCTAGGCTATAACCAACAAATACTAATAAAAACAAATACTTCTAGGAAATGTAAAGCGAGTTATGTCAATTAAACAACGTTAACAATCACTTCTAACAGTTTAAGGAATTACGGTGTCAAATAAGACACATTATAAACATACACGTATTGACACTGGGCAACATTCAGTTTTTTGGTACTTCACCGTTACAAAACCTACAACTACTGCCGTTATATAAAAAATATCTTCCGTTACTTTGGAATGGATAAGTCATTTTCCTCTGTATTCGCCTTGAAGCAGCGCAATGGCCAACGCTGTAAAGTCAGTCAATCCAGCAGTGACCAGCCACATTTTAAGCCTTGCGAGATCGCACGAGATCCATCGAAGATGATGAGACACCAAATTTACGCTTACGCACCTGAATTGAGAGAAGATTTCAAAAAATGGTGAATAGGAACTAAACTCAGTTAGCAAGGAACGAATGTTTAGGATTTTAGACTCGAGGGATCGCAAACTCACAAGCAACGGATTGGTCGAAGACGAAGTATCAATATAGGAAGCGATTCGACGAATACTGGCGGGTGCTCCGTCTTCTCCAGTCACGTCATCTGGATCCAATCCGCCTTCCGGCAGAGTGGAGATACGCATACGCGGTTCAATGTCGAATGGCTGAATTATTCATCCATTTTCAACAAATCACGAACGAAGAAAAGCAAAAACAAGCACTTCACAAGTGCAATAAAATGGCAGCATTTTAGAACAACAATGAACAACGACTGACGTTTAGAACCACCTCACTTATTAGGTAATGGGAAGTTGGAAGCAGCTACCTATATTGAATGCTACTGAGAAGACCACAAATCGGAGCCTGCTCAATACAAGCAAGCCGTATCCCTTTTGATTGGGTTAATTGACAAAGAAAAGGCGAGAAAAGCCCTGACCTAAGGGCCCTGACCACCGGGTGCCCCACTCAGTTTCTTGCATAAACCAAATATCATTACGATTTTGCCTAGAAGTCGATGAAATGGGCGCATTCCCAAGCAAAGCCGTACAAAGCAAAAACTTGATCCTTATTCAATCTGATGGAAAAGGTTATTTCTGAAACGAGTGAGGTATTACCAACCTGCTTGCCCTCCTCAATCAATCTGCCGCGCGCGCTCTCGAGCTCAAACTCAGTAGACTGCAACATCGTCTTCATCTCTTGCAAAGCAATCACAAGAGAGCGGAATTCATTATAGGCCGCAACAACTGTGTCCAGCCCCATTGGATTTAGATCTAAAATAAGGCAAAGTGCAATCCATGAAAATTTTACTGCATTAGCACACATTTTATATATATATATGATTTGAATGGCAGAAGTGTTGAATTGTCCGCAATGGTAAAGAAGGTAGACCCAAATATAGTTGGAAGTATCTCTTGCCTCGACCAGAGATACTTCTAACTCATGTTTAGCTAAATGGAAGTCCTCCCCACCTAGGCAAATAGTGCAGTGCATTTTTCCTCTCTGCAACATTCAAATTATATAAAGAGACTATTTTTCGAAATTCACGTTTTGTATGGGCTGAACAGGCAGTACATCGTGAGAAATAATTGGACTTGCAGCAGAGCTATCCCTGCGTGAAAGATATGATCTTTAACTCAGTGCTCAGAGTTGGTTCACATGGAGAGAACCCACATTTATTTTGCAGTTGTAAACAATCACCATTAGTTATCAGCTGCTTCAAAAGGGCTTCGGGCTTCGTTGAAAGGGGCTTCAAAACAGGAACCAAAGCACAAATACTGTCTAACAGATTACGCTAGCCCAGTGTTTGAGGTATTAAGGCGATGATAAAACTAATCCTCTTAAAATATCATGAATTACTACTCTCAAAACAATGATACTCCCTGAAAATTTACCACTGTTGATACACGATTTCGCTTCAGTTGAGGTTTTGATCTGCTGCAGTAACCTAATAGAGTGCTGCCGTTCTCCAACGGTAATTCACCTCGTCTACATTTCCCAAACAACTCTCAGCAACAACAATCGCCACAGCACTGTCTATAGCCAAATAAAGAGAAATGTGGGACGTCTTTCAAACGGAAACTTTAAAAAGTTATCTCATTCATCATCGCAACACATATGTTTTACGCAGTGCGTTAAAAATAAGCGGCTACTTTTCAGAATATTCGAAAAGTTGCGTAGCGGTTCCGCGCCACTAGACAAGTAGCTTTCAAAGGCACTATCCTCTAAGCGTGAAAAGCAAGATTTCAAGTATCAAAGTAATCAGTAGTAAGCAATTTTGGAATTTGGATTACTATTTAAAAACCGTAGGTGATTGGGGACCCGAAATTCAAAAATGATTCCTGAAGATGAAGAAAGCTTACCTAGTTTGCATTTGTTCAAGACAACCTCAATGTTTTTCAACTTCTTCTGTCCAATGTTTGTCGGTAGCTTCATCTCCTGACTACGAAGATGAGCACCAGCAGATTTGAATTCAGGAAACCGAATAGAAGACACTGCCACATCGACCTATAAAACAAAATTAGCTGAATGGAATCGGATGCTGGGAGATCACAGTATTCCGCTATTGCAGACAACGAGAACGCCAGACTATTTGGAATTCCTCTTGCAGAAAAAGCACTTCCAAGCTCAACGATCTGGATTCGCACGTGTGCGGGAGCGAATAGTAGGACTTGAGTCATTTCAAAGGTGAGAAGTTAGGCGACTTACTGGATTGACAATGACATTGTTGGAGGCACTGGCCAGCGTTGAGTTCCCTTTTTGACGGAAGACACTCTTTTTCTTACCCATCGCCGGTGACATGCAAGCTCCGCTAAAATACGTGAATAACACAAAAGTTTTCGAATGCTTCTGATCTTAACTAGACGGGAGGCACTGGCCAGCGTTGAGTTCCCTTTTTGACGGAAGACACTCTTTTTCTTACCCATTGCCGGTGACATGCAAGCTCCGCTAAAATACGTGAATAACACAAAAGTTTTCGAATGCTCCTGATCTTAACTAGACGATGGACTTAATAACAGTTAGGAAATCTTTAGCTTCTTGAAGCAAACTAAATGTTTCCTACTAATCGCTGAAGGCGCTGCTTTCAACTAAATAATTACGTACCTTACTGATGGACTAGCCGGCGGATCAACCGTATTGATGAGCTTCTGAAGATCATGAGCCCTCCTTTCCCGTTCCTTTTTCCGCGCTTCAATTTTTTTCAATTCGGCTGCGAGATATTCCTCTTCTTTAACCTGTGAAAAAAGTGCATAAAGAACGGATTGTATTCAGCATTATGAAGAGATCGGGATGTGTGTGCGTGTGAAGAAAACTAACATTAAGTCGCTTACCTGTGACTTCGTTCGATTGTAAAGCTTGATTGCCTGTTCCTTGCGTCTACGCTCGTGATCAGCATCGAAACAGATCGGTTCACATGTGGGGTCCTAAATGAGGTATCTTGATCCAATCTGATACCAGTTAAATTTATCCTACCGTGGAGCTTCAAATGGAGACCCAGTTGTATCGACGATATAGCTTGAACTGCTCCTTGGGGGATTACAAAATGGCTTTCTCAAGAATTTATGACCGCTCAAAGCTTGTTTGAATTTTGTGTTAACTACAGTTTTCCTTCAATTCATAAGAGGCTTTTAAAAACTTTTTTGACCTTTGTTCAGATAAGTGGCATAGTTCGGCTACCACTTTAATCTGTCGCATAACGGCAATCGTTTCAAGCCGACTGTTCTTACACTTAGACACTACATGGTGGTCAGCATGAATACTCAATCGACTTGAAAAATTCGGAAGTATACATGATTTTAGGCTCAATTAAAGCTTAATGAAGGCTTCTGATCCTCAAGCAAAGTATGGGGATGGCACCGATACAATTAGAAGTTGAGAATATATCAAAAACTGTAAGCGAAACTATAACAGTCGTGTTCCAAAGATGTTACCTTCAACAAGGCTATCTCATTCACTATGGCATAAAAACGCTCCTTCAAGTCCTCCATTGATCTCAGCCCATACTTTTCTCTATCATAGCGATCATGTACGATTGGCCACCTAAAAGTGATCATTCAGATGTTAGTCTTTTTAAAATTACTTATGAACTACCGTATGTCAAAACGCCGGCAAACGTCAAACAAATGTCTTGTCTCCTCAAGTGTCCATTTTTCCACCTTGAAGTACTTTTCATACTCTTCATCTGTGAAGTCAGGAATACTGATAACCTTAAACCAGAACAGTTGTGAGCATGATACAGAGGTTAGCGAAATGGAGACATGAATACCTTATTGAACTTGGCGAATGGGTACGGTTCAGGATTCTCAAGTTTGTCGACTCGCTGCCAATGATATAGTTGCAAGGAATCATTGCGAGCTTCATTAGTGAAAGGGACCCACTTGTACTTACGAACAGGACGCCCGCCTAGCTGAAATAAAGAACCCATAAAACATACTCAATAAACGACCATCGAGAATATCCACAAATTTAAAAGAAACTATTGTCAGATAAAAACAATGCGGAAACGTACAAGGCAGTAGCTAGTCGTTCAAGCAAAAAAAAAAACACATAAATAAATGCTGTGGGTATTCAAGCACCATCCATCACTTGTAGTCCCGATGGGCATCGATTTCCTTGATTGTGACGTCCCATTCAGTTCAGTTGCAAACTAATGGAAACCAATGCATATTTCTCGTTCGAAGGTTATATGAGGGACAAGACATAAAGCATTTCAGCGTGGATCAATACCACTTATGAGATGCGCCTTTCATTCAAAATCGTAGCGGCGCTTGAAGGTAAGCGGCCTGCAGTGACTTGCGGCAGTGAGCCAATGCATAAGTCAGCCTTGAATTACCAAACAAATCCTATAGCACTTTACTGACCCTGGACTCCTGTGCTTCCGGCAAGCTCTGGAACTAGGAGAACGTCCGTTGCGCGCGTCCGTTGAAAGTAGGTCACCCCGCCCACTTCGCGCGCGGCGCACATCACTGAGATTTCAAGATGACATTACAGTACCACCAAGTGTCAGTGAAGCGAACGATTTGCATTTTTCCGTGTTATCTTCTCTTTGGCTGACTGCCGTGGATGAAGCGCAAATCGTATTCCCCACTGACAACTGCGACTTCTGACAAGTATCGCAGGCTGATCCGCCACATGCGACGGTTGCGGCGTGACCTAGTGTAGAGGACGCGTGCAACGAAGCGCACCCCTGAACCTAGGTCATTCAACGCAGTCATTTCGTCATCTAAATTCCCAGAACTGGATCTCAAGAGGTTTTATTAAGTTCTGTTATACAGAAAGTAATCCGCCTGCATGACTGTCGCTCTCATAAGTCGGGCGTGGGTCTCTCATCCGGAACTTTTGCCGCGCCTGCCGCATCCGATCGTGCGCTGTGAAAGTTTAGATTCCTAGTCTAAAACAACGGTCATTGCCGCAAAGCCGCTGCTGCAGTGGAAATGCCGGCGAAATACCGCTATCTTCATAAGCTCATATATCCGCGGACCGAAAATGGTCTAAGTAACCCCCAGAAATAAGGATCAGAAGATATGTTGGCGGTCTCAACTACTATAAAAATGCATAAAAATTCTTTGAGCTGCAATTGGCCATCTATATCTTGCACCATAGAAACAATTTAAACGGAACCCACCTGTGCATTTAGTTGGGCAAAACCTCTTCTGATTTCAGTAGGGACAACAGTGCTAGCCTCTTTGACATCCGAGCTTCCAATTAGGTTATATAATTCCCGATGCATTTTCTCAGGGCGTTTGAAACTTGACTCAGATCGACGAGCAGATGACTGTAATGGGTAGGAGTTTAAGATGCCTTACACATGCATACACCCCTAGGTTTGCTCAAATCTCCATCACCGTCAAATTAATAGATTTTGATCAATCCGGAAGGAAGAAGTGATTGGAAATCTATTACAGTGATAACGGACTAAAAGAATAGATCCCTCGGGGTTACCTAATCCAGTTGTGAGAGTGTACCCCGCATCCGACTTCCATTCAAAATTGTTATGCAGTATTGAATGTGCAGTCTATAGAATGACTTTAGCGGCGGGCCAATGTAGAAGCATGCACTGTAACCTTCCCAAATCAGTCTATTACCAACCAGCTGAACCCGGAGCGATGGGAGGCCAGTTTTGCTGAGCGAGCATCGATGCGGGATTCGATCAACGAACCATATGTGTATGATTATTGCATTTCCACAACACAAGCCCACTCAGTTCGATGATGCTGGCCTAATTTTTGTAAATATCAATATGATTGCGACTCTAAAGGTATTCACCCCTCTGGATGGGTATTCATACCGGAGGTGACCCATCATTAACCGAATTGAGCACATAAAAAATATCCCTCAGACCTAATTCTGAGGGCAATAATTTTTTATGTGTGATTGCCTACAACCTTTTCCAACACCGACATCATTCCTTCCCGCAACTTACTTCTCTGCAAAGATTCAGTTTTATGATTCCTTGCTCCCACAAGTTGACTATCTCAATTATGCCTACTCTTGTCCTAATTCCTTCATATTCAATGGTTGTTTTTACCAACCAAAATCTCGGTAACCTCCGATGATTACGACGGTATGATGATTAGTTTGGAAGAGTTCACACTACTGCATGCCGACTGGTCCAATCAGGTGGTGTAGGAATGTGCATGGCCCAATCGTGAGAGAGAAATCAAAGTATTCCGCTTCAAAAATATACCTTCTTGCCGATATTTAAGAGAGACATCTGCTTGACTTCATCCTTTTCTTCCTTCTTGGTAGCACCACCTAAGATGGATTTCACGTCTCCAAACATCTGGAAACTATCGGATGTAGAGGCACATTAAGAGCACGGCCCAGATCGGCAACGAAAAAACATATATGAAGAAAGTAGCACGCAGTGTTATCATAAGTACGGGAGAGGAAGGAAACGCAGGTGCAGCCGTTTGCTGACAAAACAATTGGTACAAACTACTCATTTTATTTGACTAAGCGATTCGCCCAACACTAAAATTGGGTGGATGCACTTAAGCAATCGTTGTACAATTAGCTCTACAAAATCTCACATGCGAAACTGTAGCAGGAAGTTTCTGAGCAAAGAATTATATTACTTTCTCCATTGCTCTTTTTGCCATTTCTCAGGTAAAACTCAGAGCTGGACCCAGAGGCCACTCCATACCAAAGAACACAACCAGTAAAGGAGGAATAGACAAAATCAGCACCTAGCCTCTGAAATACTACAAAACTTCTTTCACTGTTCAACTAATCAAATGGAGCCTCTAAGATGCTGATTCATAAACTGTCACATTAACAGAAGACAGAACAGCAGATAGACAGAGGAAAAGCTGTCCGAACCGGTTTAGCTCACAAACGCCTCCAGCCTAAAAAACTGTAAATGGCTGCTTTCAGACTGACTGCTCCATAGTCCACGATTTGGTTTCGGCGCTTTTCAGTTTTTCGGCTCTTGCCCCTTGCTTGGTCGATATCGCGGGACGAATAGTTGAATCTAGCAAAACGAACGAAGCTGCAACAAATCGAAGTTTTACCGATTTGATCGAAATAGACGAGTTCCTGTCTACCACTAGCTCCTAAATCATTTCAGCCAGAGCTGGAACCACATCGATCGAAAAAGCGCCCTATGTATCGAAGGGCTCCCTGTTCGTGACGCATTATTCACTTTATTTTGAGGAAGTAATCCGATCATGTCAGGGCTGCCACAAAGCCGTTACGTAAGATTGTCGCAAAAATAATTGCGGACCATCCCAAATTGCTTCAAATGCCCTGCTGCTTTGCATGCCGTATTCCTAGTTCTTTTCTCATCGCTCTAGCGCTGTTGCATGCTGTTTCTAGCGCTGTTGCATGCCGTATTCCTAGTTCTTTTCCCATCGTTCTAGCGTTTCGCTGGATTTCCTTGTTGGGGCTTTTAATATTCGTTGTCCAGTACCCGCGACTTATGACCGCGATCACGTCAAGCACGGCTGAATTCAAATTGGGGGGTATGTGTACGAACGTGCGTCCGAGGATGCGCGCGGGAAATTGCGCGGCGAAGTTCGTAATGATTTGAACGACTTTGGCGCCTATCATTGGGACCCAAATTTGAAATAGAGTGGATTAGGAGGATCATTTGACCCTACTAAACTACTCTACTTCGAGTTTGTGCCCCGAAAATTGGCGCCGCAGTTGTACAAATCGTCACGAACTTCGCAGCGCAATTTGCCGCGCGCACCCTCGGACGCACGTTCGTACCGTCCCCCCAAATCGGGCAGCTCTCCTTCGGCTGCAGAGCGGCCCACTACGAATTTCGAAGCATGGCGACGCAAAAATCGTGCTCATCTATATGAGATTCAAAAACAATGCAGATAGGTAAATGATTAAGACGGCACCAAGAAGGGATTATATCTTGTAGCCGAAGAACAGACGCTCAAAATGATTTGTGAACTCTCGCGCCCTCGTAAAAAACCTGGCGAGAAATGAGAAAGCGATTATTAGTAAAGTTCTGATTAACAACCTTGAGCTGTGACTTCTACCGTGCACAGAAAAGTGCTTCGCCTTGTTGCTTACTGATTGAAATTCACAAGTAGAGAGAGTTACGAATGCTTCAGAGCTCAAGTAATTTGAACAAATTGCCTTCCAAATACTTTCCAGTAATTAAGGAGATGTAGCATCCGATCATAAAACTTATATTTAAAGTTCATAGTTACTAGCATCGAATGCTCCTTTTTAGAAACCTGGGAAACGAAAGCCCTATAAAAACTAACTAAGTAAAGCGAGGCAAAGAACGGTAAGCAAGAAGTCTACTCCCAAGACTTTGTTCGTCGCTTTGTAACAAAACTAGTCAGGATTTCATTCGACTCAATTCAACACTAACGTACAAATTAATACTGGATTTGAGGATGCAAGCTTGGAACGATAGTGGCCGAAATGAAAGAATTTGCTGACTACAGTTTCGCACATAGTAAGGCGACGAGCGAATAGGCAAATTACGAAATGCTTCACAGAAGATATGGTAGGTTCTAGAAGATTTCATATCGCGCGCCATTTTGGTCAAAACATGTTTGTACTCGTTTAACTTGTTAAAGCGTATTTAAAGTTGTTAGATCTGCACTATAGGAGGATACGGTAGTTAGTGTCGGCTGAGGATCAGTTCTGCGTGCTGCTAATTCATTGCATAGTTATATTAACC